GAGTATAACCTTCTTCACAGTGACAGGGGTAAACGAGTCTCTGTACCAACTGGGGGCAGCGGCAAGGTTAATAATTAAAGGAATGATACCCTTAAGGTTGCTGGAGGCTTTTTGGTGTGATTTCTTTAAAAAAAAAAGAAATTCTTTGTTCTAAAATATGTAAAATATTAAACATCAACAGGGACGAGCAGTCAGTTGAAAGGCACCAAATGTAGAATGTGGATTCTGGGCAGAGGAGGGATCTCTGCACCAAAACTCCAGAGCACAGCAGCAAAATCAGCTCTAAGCTTCCCTTGCAGTCCAAATAATTATCATCATGCTAAAATGTAATCTCCAGCCAATTTGATCTCATTGTTCTTCCAGAATAAATATGCCTTTGTTGTTAACAGCCCAACTGTAAAAGCAGCAAGTTTACTGTTGATTCTGATGGCAGTTTCTTACATGTGTATTATAACCACACCACTAGCACCCACCACAATAATCATTTATGCAGTGCAGGCAAGACGACTTCAACATAAATCATACATTATCATGATTTTGGTGCAGAGATCAATTTAACGCATAATCTCAGTCCCAAATTAGATGGTACACGCGAGTCAACATTATGAAAACAAATGTGAATGGTAATTTCGTAATTTTTAATAGCGCCCAATGGAGGTCCCTGCTTGGGTTTATTGACAAATTTAATATATAAGAAATTATACTTTGGAAAATCCAGTTACAGAAGGTCTCAATGTCAGTGAGGTCAGTACAGTGCTCAGGGTATGATATCAAAGTGCTACCCCGTAGATTATTTTCTTCTTTTCTGGCCCCAGATAACCAACTCTTTTTATACACTAGAATGATTTCTGACATTTGTGCCAGCTCACCCTAACCCTCATCCATGTAAGACTAACTTCTCCTACTAATAGCACTGGTGGTCCTTACTGAATATTTTAGGAGCACCTGTACAAAATGTAGCTGCACCACTTAAACTGACACATTCATATTTTTTTCCATTTTAATATTACTGATAAATGGTTTAGTAATACATATATAATTAACAGAAATTAACAAGGTCATGTTTTATTGTAAGGAAAAAGTCATAGAGTGAAGTAGTTAAATGGTGCTTTGTTTTTTAAACAAAAATGCCAAAGTTCATTTCATTGTCACCAAAGAGACAAGCGAGAGTATTTATGGCCTGGACACAGGTAGATGACATCCTGTGTAGAATCGTCCCCAACTCACGTTGTTATGATGACAACAGCCTTGTGTTAGCTCTCCACTCTAATCACACATTATCTCCCTCAGACACACACACACACGCACACACACAGACACACACACACGCCTGTTTTCATGTCTTTGTGGGTTACTTTCCCTCTGCAGCTGTGCATTTTAAAACATATAATACCCACAGTTACTAGGGTACACATTGGCTTATATGTCTGTACGTAAGCCTGGCCTTTAGCAGCAGGCAATTTCCGAACTAATGTCTGGCTTCGTCTTATCGATGAAGAATTTCTGAACTAAAGACAGTGGCTTGGGTCAAATATAACCAAAATATTTAATAGTATTTCGTGATACATAACTTTTGATACTGTCCAGGCATTACACTCAGGTATTTAGGCTATTTTAAAATCAACACTATTCCGGTATTTTGAAATCCCCCAAGATACAGTTTTGCCAAAAGTAAATACCGCTGTATGCTGTGGTGCCATTATACTGACCAGGGCTACATAGTAGTTTTACTAATAAATGTGTTTTTGGTTCATAAACATGAAAATAATTTCAAGTACAGACGTAAGTGGAGTTGTCATGCATTAACCCTCACAAGGTTGATTAAAAATGCATGTGTAAACATCAATAGGATAATTGTTCACGAGTGAGGGATGAAGGGAGAGGGAGATTGACAGATGGATCGGTGCAGCGTCGACAGCAATGTGGATGCTGTACCATTCTGGTGTGGTAAATAGGGAGCTGAGCTGGAAGGCAAAGCTTTCCATTTACCGGTCAATCTGCCAGGGTTGGGGCCATTCCAGAATGCATTGATCAATTCCAGTCCAAATCAGGAAATGGAACTGGAGTTGGAACTTAAATCTCCCTGAAATTCAAATTCAACTCCAATTCTGTTCCCTGTAGTTTTTTTTCCAATCCCAGCTCCAGTTTCATTTCCTGATTTGGACTGGAATTGATCAATGCATTCCGGAATGGCCCCAACCCTGCAATCTACGTCCCTACCCTCACCTATGGTCATGAGCTCTGGGTAGTGACTGAAAGAATGAGATCGCGGATACAAATGACAGAAATTAGTTTCCTCCGCAGGGTGTCCGGGAGAGAGTGTGAGGAGCTCAGACATTCGGGTGGAGCTCAGAGTCGAGCCGCTGCTCCTCCGCATTGAAAGGAGCCAGTTGAGGTGGTTCGGGCATCTATCTAGAATGCCTCTTGAATGGCTCCCTGGGGAGGTGTTTCGGCCATGTCCAACCCAGAGGAGGCCCCAGGACAGACCCAGGACATGCTGGAGAGATTATATCTCTCGGCTGGCCAGGGAACACCTTGGTATTACCCTGGAGGAGGTGGCTGGTGAGAGGGAGATCTAGGCAACCCAGCTTAGACTGCTGCCCCCACAATAATGGATGGATGGATGGAATCATTAAGTGGAACCATATTTCAGATGTTCTAATGTCTGATTCTTAAAAATTTAGAACAGTTTCTAATTTGGAACCGGTTCTGTATACTCAACCCTAAACACCAATCCTCACTCCCTCCTGGTGATTTTTTGTGATATAAGATGGTTTTTTTGAAGAAAAAAAAAAAACTGATGGACCTAGTTATAAAACGGTGACAAAATACGACTAAATGGTTGCAGTGTGAAGCCCTGTCTGTGTCCCCCTGTTTTTATTTTTATTATTAAACATCAATCTCTAAATAAATTCCTCTGGTAATTTTTCACATCTTTTGTGAAGATAATGCATTTATAAATAACTACAACATAGACATTACACTCTATATTTAAATCTATAACATAATATCATTCAAACTTGTGTTTACTGAAATGCTATTTTTATGAGCCATATGTCTTAATGGGAACCCTGCAGGGTTTGCCAGCCTTGCTGTGATATTTTAGCGCCACCTAGTGGAATCTAAGCCTTACACTCACATGCAGTGGTGCACCTTGCAGCTTGCTGTTGATTATGGATACACAGATAAACACTTCTGGTGCTTGCTAATAGATTATTTAGCTTCAAAAATAATAATAAATGTTCCATTTTTAATGGAACATGTTAATTCACTGTTATAAAGGGGCTAATCCATTGTAGCAACATTTTCTAAAAAAGCGACAAAACTTTGATCATAATTATCTTGTCATCTTCAAACAGTCTAAGATATTACTTTTGATGTAAGTGTTCCATTAAAAATTTATGGAACACGTGATAGTCTCAATATGCATATGCATGTTATTTGTACAATATGAAACCTCTAATCCCAACACAACGACCCTAACCCTACCCATCCATAACCTTAACCATAAGTAACCAAACAAAATACGAGACTTTTGGCATTATTACTTTTTTGATTGCATTCACAGATCTTCGTGGGGACCTGAATAATGGTTCCCACAACATCAAAATAACAGGATTTTATTACATTGTGGGGGACATTTGGTAATGTAATATAAACCTAATCCATGCGCATAGGCGCACACACACAGACACAGATTTATAATTGTAACTTTGTGGGGACTCTCCAGTCCATTTCTATGGAGAAACCTCTAATCACAACATGATGACCCCTGCCCAGGCCTAACCATAAGTAACCAAACTAAATACGAGACTTTTGGCTTTTTTAGTTTTTTATTGCAATCACAGATTTTTATGATATTGAATTTCGCCTTGAGCGGAACAAAAAAATAGTACCCACAATGTCAAAATAACAGGTGTTTATCACAATTCGGGGATAGTTGGTCCCCACAATGTAATGTCTATCTGACCCACACACACACCGGCAAATAAACCTGCAATACAGACATGTAGTAAGGGTCCGGTGTTCATGTATGAACAAAGTTCACTTCAAGCTGCACAAGGACTCCCCAGGATCCTTCGACCTACTGCCTCACATCAATTACCTTCCTTCCAGTGCCTTTGGGTGAGTCACAATAGTGCAGGAAGCCAATTGCCTGACCTTCACCTCTATCTCCAGAGGGCCCTTCACTCGCTGTCATTCTGACCCGCTTCTGCTCTCTCCAAAAGCCACCAGTGCATTATATCGTATAATTAGTGGAAGAGACGCCTTCTTCTGAATCTGCATTTTAAGTACTGCATGTCAAATCTCAGTCACTGGGTTCAAAAGGAAGAATGAATGGGTTGTGTACAGCTACATTCATTAAACTGTAAAATTGATTGCAGGCGAAAATGTTTATTTATGATTAATCTACCGTCAACATTTATTTTACAGGTAAAATAAACAAGCAGGTCACTAGCTAGCTAGCACTGGAAAATTGGTTTTGGATAGTTTTGCTGGATTTGTGCTGTCAAATAGACACTGCTATGGCTGATTGTAATGTCATGCTATTTACTAGATCTTGTCACTGAAAAGACACTGCTATCAAACATAGGTTATGTTCTGCTCATTGACTTCAGTGTTATGCTAAACAAAAGTACCAAGATAAACCCATATCTGGTGGTGCAGTAGCTCCGAAGTGGATAGCAGTTTGAGTCCCAGCCCTACAGGGTTGCTAGTTTGAGGGTCTGTTTCCTATCATAGTAAAAAGAGACGTTTTTTATATGGACTGCTGTCTCTTTACTGTCCTATTGTGTGTGACCTGTGACTGACCGGCATCATATTCCTTAGTTACCCTGTGCATCCCAGGATAGACCCCAAAATCACCATTGAATACATAGTTATGGAAAACGTATGTATGTAAAATACTGCCCTTCTCTGGATTGAGCAAACCTTCCTGACATCATGCAGACCTTTTCCCCCTCATTGTGTGAGTCTTACTCATGCTTAATCTAAGTGACTCACAGATGAACGTCCCCGGCTGCAGACACTGGAAACACGCTTCTCCTGTAAGGCAGACTGAACGCCGGGCTCCTGTCTGCCGGCCGGCTGCACTGCACCTCCCCAAACTGACGGAGGCGAAACTGGAGGCTGAGCTTCCGGCTCATGGTCCTGAGGGCCAGAGCAGCCGCCGCGAGCTCAGAGAGCAGGAAGACGAGGTAGACGGAGTGAACGGCCCTCTCCAGCGGGAGGATGATGGCTCCTTCGTCGGTCAGCAAGAAGAGTAGGATGGGCAGCTGGAACAGGAAGCTGAGTAGCCAAAAGCCAGCGAGCTCAGGGATCTGTTATGAGCACAGAAAACAAGCAGCCATGGGAGGAATAGAAGTGCAGTATTTTTAATGATGAATGTGAGATGAAACAGATTTAGATCTATAGATCTGTTTTAACAAATAGGCTGGGGAGGAATTTCATTGAAATTAGATCTTCCAGCAAGGCTAGCTGTTATGTTTCACAATAATTTTGAATTTATTTTATTATTGATTAAAATGGTTAGCAGACTTTATAAAGCAATACTTACAGTGGTATGCAGTCAGATTATCTATATTTATTCATTTTACAAAATATAAGAAATTCCTTGGTCAGTGATACAACGCTGAATCCCTCTTTAAAATTGACAATATTTACATGACAAATGCTGTGGTACGTCTCACCATACGTCATATTTTTGTACCTTTTCGTTCAGATTGCCCACATAACCAAGATAAAGCCTTAGTGCCTCAAATGCTGTAATCAAGATGACTCCTGTCACCAGAATACCCTGGTAGTACCCCGGCAGAACAGAAAACTAAGAAAAGAGAAGATGTTTGCTCTGTGTTAATAACAGTGTCCTCTGGTGGTGCTGTAGCACAGAGTAAGAAAATGTGCAGAGATACCTTCACTTCCAGCATGAACATCTCAGAAAGCCACCAGCAAGGAAAGTAGAAGATGTTAAAGTAGAGCAGCATTTGGAGGGGGAGATTTGACAGCAGTTCATTCGCTGAGAGGAGAAGCCCAGACAAATTAACAGTAATAGGACACACACATTGACAAGAGTTAATAGCCATGCAATGACACTATGATGCCTGAAAAGGGAACTGAAAGTGCAATTAAAAGGTTATAATCTGCAAATTATGGTGCTGATTCATAAAGACAAGTATAATTTACCATACGAATGAGCTCAAATGAGCAGTTTAGTGGAAGGTAGCTACCACTAAAAGCAGATGAAATAGCTAGTGATGTGTCGTGTGTTACCTGCTCCGTAATTGTATTGCCGATTTTCAGCTCCATCGTGAGTTCTGTTCTGCGCAAAAACAATCCCGCTAGCATAAGCCAGTCCCAGTCGCAGGTTCTGGGGGAAAGGTGGAAAGTAATCTGGCATCGAACACACAAAGCTTCCCGATCGGCTCTCTAGGCCTGCTCCTCCTCGCTGCCCGTCTTCCTGTCCAGCGACTGCAGGGTTTAGGTACTTACATACACTGATAATCAGATTAACGGAAAGGAGGCAGCCTGACAGAGGATTAGGGGCAGCATGGGGGTCACAAATTACCAATCTGACATCTTATTTAGGATCTTAATTAATCAGAACAGATGTTACTAGGTATTATTCAGTCATAATAAGGTATTGATTTTTATTAATAAAAACTTCTGAGTGTATACATTATTTCTACAGTTCTGCACGTTTTTCTGTGAATACTGATTATGCATGGATGAGCCTGATTGTACATGTTTAAATGCACAGATTAGAAGGGGAAACAGAGGCCGGTTGCCTCGTGGAGTGAGCTTGAATGCTTGGCTTGTAATGGTGTGACTTTCGCAATTGATTTGTTTGTGGGGAACACGTCCGTGGATGTTTCTCAATATGAGTACTTGACCGTACTTGTGTTCTCGTGTACCCGTTTTACATCATCTTTTATTGCCGAAGACCAGTTCCAATACTCAATTGGTGTTTCTCAATATGAGTACTTGACCGTACTTGTGTTCTCGTGTATCCGTTTCACATCATCTTTTATTTCCGAAGACCAGTTCCAATGCTCAAGAACAGAAGTACAGAGGACAGGAAACATCCCCAGATATTGGTCTTGCTCTACTCCAAATATCAAGGATGCAGCGGTTGTACCTTCTCCAAATTATAAACTGGCGTTTATAATTCAGCCTAATATATCAATGTTTTGACCTATGATTAGTATCTGTACACGTGTATCTTTTAAATTATTCAATGTATTTATACATTAATAATGCATTTATACCACACAACTGATTGGATCCAACTATGTACAGTAAATTGCTAGTGGCAGCTCACCCCAGAATGAGGCCCAAAGGAGAGAATAAACTGGAACAATTATTCTCAAGTTTATGAAGTGAAAATGCATTTATTAATAGAACAGTAACATAAGTTTAACAAATTACAATGATTAATAAACAATAACACAATAACTTAATAAAATTCACAATGTTAGTTTTTACTTATTATGTACAACATATACAAAACCATGTTTTGTTTGGGTGATTTTCTGTGTAGATCCAATG